ATCGCAGAAAAGTTGGCAACCACATTGTGAAGAATGTATTTCATACCAATTCCTAGTAAATGCGTTGAAATACTGAATTACAATATCAATTTTCACAGATTTCCCAAAGCATTGAATCTCAACAATTCATCAGCCTTTGTAAAATTCTCAATTCCGTAATCTTAAATTATTTTGGATGATGTCACAGTTCTGGAATTCCTCGTGTTCAAAAAGTATAACGATCAGTATTTTGATTATCATGAGTCTTTGAAACTCTTGGATTTATTTTATACAGTGCAGATATACTGCTTCTCTCAACTTCTAAACAGTTCAAGACTTCGAGGTCGGACAAATTTTATGTGAAAAGGCTTTTCAATGAAAAAAATAATAGTGTGGCATCAGTCGACGCCGAGAGAGTGCTTTGAACGTTTTTAAAGAAATGGCGGGGTCTTGTAATACCTCGTTAGATATCTCTGTCAGTTCTCTATCTAACACGGGTTTATTTTTGGAAATTGGGCCAGCCGTTCCTGAGTAATTAGCAGTTTTATATTCGTTTCAAGATTCTGCAAACGAGTGATAAATATTATCGCGACACCAAGGGCTTCTCGACTCATTCGTTTGCTTTATTGTTTTCGGCTTACGCGAGTTTCAGTGATTTGCCTTAAATATAATGAAACATTGGGACGAAATAATGATTAGATCGAACAAGAATACAATAATTAGAAAGAATTTCATTGAGAAGACAATCTTGACTCGGCGAGATGTTTTCACCACACCCCCACTAAAAAACTATGTTCCTCTCTCCACTCAAATCTTCCCAAAAAAAACCATCATTGCTGACTGTGAATATATCGGTAATGATGTATTTATGACTTATTAACTTTCAAAATAAATGACTAAATTGAATATGTATGCAAGAAAGGTACAAACATTTTTTCCCAGAAAATATATTCATTGAAAACCTAAATAATAAAAGTATAAAATATTTCTATTGAATTTGAATATTGAAAATTAAAATTCTTTGAAATTTGGTGAATAATCGATTACATCACTTCTCAGTAAAATGAGTCAGATAATTACGTTCTGTATCTGTAGAGTAGGGAGAGTGAGTGTAGGCCCAGAGCACTTAAGCCACATGTGACCCATTGTACATCCTCCCAAAGTGGACAGGTCTCTGAGAGACATCTCCTTTATATCGGCAGGTGTAGGCCAAGACTCGCCGAACACACACTCTTATTGACGATAACTGCGGACATTCGTATAGGACATGCCTGATAGTTTTATCATCCTGTTCACTCATCCTGCATAGAGGTGTGTCCACTTGCTCCATATTGTGGAGGTGTTTTCTTAGTTGACAGTGGCCAGGCAGAAATCCTACTGTTAAGCGTAGATTTTTTCTGGGCATCGCCAGATATTTCTTCGGCGCCAGCTTCCCAGGGTCGCCAAGGGTGATCCTGACAAGATTGCATCCTTTGATTCCATCCCATCTCTTTAGGGATTGAGCATGGGTGTGACGTTTGGCTAGTTACGCAGTTATCTAAGTCATCAGGCCGTAGGTGCCACTGGGTCCTAAAATTCTTAGTCCAGCCGCTTCCTTAGCTGAAGAGTCGGTAATGCGAATACCTTCACTGCTTACCTTCATCTACCGAGGCTTTGGCTAAATCTTGGTGACACCTTATACTATCCCTGAGGTAACACGTTGTCTGTTCAAGGCTAATAGGGCTTGTCTGGTATCAGCCAGTTCTGTTTGAACCACGCTGGTATTTTTTACCATTCCCAACTTAATCCTTAGGCTTAGAGATTTGGAGTACACTTCACATCTCAAGCCTTCTTTGGTTTTTGGGCCGTCTGTCAGACAAGTACGTTTTTTCCGAATATTGAACTAATTCGACAAGCAGTCTTTTTCAATTCAAGTACTACGTTTCTGGTACACATTTCCAAC